GTTCAGGAAAAGGAATTGATATCTATCTTCCCTTCTTTTACAAGTTTAAAGAAAAGCAAGAAAAATAGATAACTGGTCCTTTTCCTGAACCCTTGGTACAGGAACCAGTTCTAACATACGCCACAATTGGTGGAAAAGTTCTCCATTCTCTAGACATGCTTCATTGACATGCAACAATTTTTTGCATTAAAGCATGAATGTACTAAGTGTATATATGCTTGCAGTTTAATGAGTATTCACGAACCTTCAAAGAGTAATGACCAGCAGGAGCAATGTAAGTAATTTTTCCCATTGCATCTGGAGGAAGTGCAACATGATGTTCCATTAAGCTGTTTTCAAAGACATTCTGCGAAAAGAAAGAATCAAGAAGAGATTCAAATACAAAGGAAGATACTTGAATACAGTTTTGGAGAAGGACTCAACAAATTTCTTTAGAAGAAATTCAGTTCTATCAAACTTACAGCATACAGATCTCCACCTGTTAAGATATCTCCCTCGCCTGGCACCAGATATATTATTGTGAGCAGAGTCATCAATGATGAAAGTACAGTTCCTGACGAAGATAACTCAAACTCCAACATGACACGGAGTCAAAGGCAAGAAAATACCTATTTTCTTAGGCTCAAATTCCCAGAGTATATCCTTGTCAAGGGCTGGAACAGATACACCTCGAGGGATATAGACATCCCCAGATCTTTTTGCGATTGTCTTCAGTGGCCTCTGCATTATTGACAAAACAAACATACAAAAACAAATTACGCATTCAAATGGAGCTGCAATAATCTATATCAGACAAGCTTCAGTACAGAATTTCAGAGAAAAATTGCAGGACATCATCAGATAATAACCTGAATACCATCGAAGATGTTTCCCAAGATTCCAGGACCAAGCTCTACTGACAGGGGCTGCAATTTGAATACACATCAATTTACCTATTTCAAATTCAATATTCCAACAGTTAAAACAAAACAATAAAACTGATAAGAAGTATTTTTATTTTTTTTACCTTGCGTGTACGTAAGACAGGATCATTCACCATCAGCCCAGCTGTTTCTTCATAGACTGCAAGAAAGAAGATCATAACAAATAAACCTTGTTTGAAACTTCAATTCAAGTCTGATTATGGGAATCAAAGCTAGTACATAACTCCCTTTACAAACAATCAAGAAGGAATAAATAGAAATGGAAGAGATACAACAATCCAGGGATGCTGGTAGGGAGAGAGTTGTCATTAGCAGGAATAAAAAAATTAAATAATATACCCTGAATTGTAGCAGAATCTCCTTCCAGCCTAATAATTTCACCAATAAGATTGTCATGTCCGACACGAACAAGTTCATACATGGCAGCCCCAGCCATTCCATCTGCAACAACCACTGGTCCAGACACCTGTAGGAATAGGCACAATTTGCAGGCAATAACATAAGTTGTTAGAGCTAGCAATGGCAACTTTTACTTTGGAGTTGGAGAACCGATAACATAGGGCACAAAACTTCATTCAATGAGCACAAAACCAAGACAGAAACTTGGTAACCGATAATCCCACATCAGCATGATCATCTACATCGTATGCAAAATAGAAAAGCTAAATAAAAAAATCTAACAATGAAAGGCTCTACTTTTCTCATAGGAAACTAACAATCACCAAATCAAGTAAACAGTGAACAGATGCAAGTGCACAGGCAAAAAAAAAATTAAGATGTACTATTACCTAATGATTAACAGCAACTACAGTAATCATAGTAGAAAGAAAGAGAAATTCAATTGATTTAACGCTTATTAACTCATGAGTCATGAACAATAAAGCGACAAACTGTTTAACCAATGATCGACTTTAAAACCTTCTTACTTTTAAAAAAAAGGTTCGTTAAAGCAAAGTCCAAACAGTTGCATTACCAAGTTCAGCATTTAGAGAAAATGTATTCGCAAATAAAAATTAAAAATACTGTAAAAGCATGTCCTTCCAAATAATTTCCATGGTTAGAAAAGTGAAACTGATCCAACTAATATACAACACTATTAGTGCTATGATTTCCATGGTTAGCAAAATGAAGCAGTGTCACTTTTACTTCTCGTGGTTCAAACTACGTGAAATTTTAATTTTAATATACACTAGTTGATCTAATCCAAATTAGCTTAAAAAATTATCATTGCGACTGACTTTCGAGGAGCAAAAGTATCACATAAATTGAAACAACTTGAGTAAAAGCTCGTACTCCAACCAAATTGAATCTCAAATGAAAATAGTAATACCTTTCTGACGTAACCATACTCACTCTCCTTTTCAGAATCTTCAAATGTAGTGAGAGGACCTCCAAAGAGCGACGGCATTGTAGGAGAGTGAAGTAAGTAAATATGGTGAATTCACGATCGGATCGATGGAAGATAAACCCTCCAATCGAAATCTATAGAATTGCGGTAGATAAACGAGAACGTTACAGACAAAATAAGGAAGCAACGAGCGAGAGAGAAGAGAATGGGGGAGGGGGTATTAATCCGTTGTCGTACTCGTCTACTTGTCTGGTTCTCTCTCTCATGTGTAACGTGATTCATTCATCAACTTTTTCTTCTACTTTTCGAGATCTTTTAATTCATTTTTGGCATATTTGTTATTATTAATATTAAAATATCTAGTAAAACTATATCTGTTGCACAAAACTCGGACTCTAAACATTTTGGAAAGTATTTTAGTTTTTGTTGCAAGTGTAACTTTTAGAGAGTAGCTTATTTTGAGAAAAAAAAAATTTCCCGATATTAAAATAACTATTTATTCTTGATTAAGGTTATATTTTTGGATAATATGTTTTCAATATTTGAAAAGCAACTTATATTGACACTGAAAAGCACTTAATAATTTTATTTTTTTTGATAAAAGCTTGATCAAATATCTCAATTTTCTAACTTTTTCTAAGGAAATATTTTTAGCTTTCAGAAGTTTTATCGAATAGGTTATAAAATATCTGAATGTTAATACATATATTATAGAAAGATATGGAAAAATATGACAAGGAATAAATATAATTCCTTTTTAGAGTATGACATGTTTGGAGTTATATAATGTCACTTATGATGTTTCCATAATTTGATGACAAATCTAAAAAAAACAACAAAACAAATCGAACAACGAGTCTTTTCGTTGTTACCTAACGATAATTAAATGATACAATATAATACAATTTAAATAACAATCAATACAAATTTTATATTTTAACTAATAATACAATTACATTACAACGAGTAACAACCATCCGAACTAGGTGTAATTACAAGTAGGGGTGTTCACATGTCGATTTGGATCAATTGTTGATCAAAATCAAAGTTAAACTGATTCAGTCGATTTTAAAATTATTAAAATCATATCAAACCAAATATAATACACATTTGTCGGTTTGATTGTTTTCAATTTCGATTTGATTATTCGGTATTAATCATACACAAAAAGAAAAGAAACGATATTCAAAACAAAAGACAGTTAGAAGAACTCACATCACACAACTTTTGATTACGGAATTTTCAATGAATAAAAGTTTAAAATTCACTATTTTGGCATAAAAGAAAGAGACATTAACATTCTAGCTCCCCATCTCCAAGAATCATAGACACTCATATACATGAAATCAATAAGATAAATGCTCTCATCTTGAACATTTTTACTTTAATATATTATAAATAAATTTTGATCAAAATATATAGTAGATATTTTTTTTTTATAAAAATAATATATTATGTATATATTATAATAAAATAAATGTATATAAAATTTATCACTTCAGCTCCGTTATTTCTTTGAAAAAAATCAAATCAAATACTATTAGTTTTAAGAAATCTAAAATCAAATTCAAATAAATTCAATTTGAATCGATTTTAATCCAACTGGGAACACTCCTAACTACAGGGGTTTATTTAGATAAAATAAGGAAGAAGAAAAGGTGGTTGAATCTAACATTACTCTCAACTTATGGGGCGGATTACGTAAATTTAATTAATAGTCAAGTCAAAACTTTTTCTTCATTTTCGCGGCTTTTTGGGTAATAAACTTCTGACAATATTCTCTGTACGAAAAACCCTTAACCCCATGCACTCTGTTTCCTCTAGGAAATCGCGAACCATCTTTTATTACTTACTTAAATCTCATTTCGTCTTCATCTTCATTAATCTTCTTCTGTTACTGTTCCTACTGTCCAAAACTTGAATCAAAATTTTGCCTTTTTGTCCTTTTATCACCTTTTTTTTCCCTCTTCTTGTGTAATTTTCCTTTTTGAGTTTTTTTTTTTGTTTTTTCAGCATCGTAACGCGTAATGTATTTTTCTGGTTATTCAGATTCATAAATCACACTAAATGTAATGTATCAGTAAAATGTACCCACTCAACTCACTCACCCATTGTTTTTGTTGCCTTTTTTGAACCCCTTTATAATATCACGCCTCGATTCGGTTTCTAGGGTTTGCACTCTATTTAACAAATGGCTTAGGTGGGTGTACACCGGTTTAATCTGTAAGTGATGTTTATTTTGTTTTGAATCTTTCATTTTCAAACTCTATTCCTCTTTGAATCAGTAAAGTTTCGTTTTTTTTTTTTAAAATAATCTTTTTTCATGATTTCCCCTAAATTTTGAAATATAAGTTGATCGCAGTTTGATTGTTTGAATTTGAAATGTATTTTCTTCAGTTTTCTAATTGAAATACTGTGCAGAAGCTGAATGTTGTTGCGGTTTTATTGGGGATTTCACATTGGAAGCTTGATGATGCTGTGGAAGCTGAGGATATACAGATTTAGAATGAGGCTAAATTAGATTATGGATCTGATTTGAGTTCTCAGAGTTTTGCTGGAAGGGACCGCGAATGATTAACTAAAAGTGTCATTTTTGTTATGTCGTGTTTGTTGAATGATTCTTTTTTACTGCATGTAGACTGGAGCTCTTTTGCATCCTGGTGTTGTTGAGAAGAGTAGATCAATCTTTTTGAGGTTAGCTAAGTGAGATTACTAATTTGAACGGACGAACAAAAAGAATTATTGTCTAAGACATTGATAGGGAAGTTGTTGGTTTAGTGATGGATTTCTTCAAAGTGAAGAGATTTAGAAAGGCTCATAAGCCGGAACTAGAGACTAATACAGAGGAAAAACCTGTTCCACTGCCGGGAGAGCAAAAGAATGAAAATGGTAATGTGGGGAAAACAGCTTATGTTGATTCTACTAATGCTGAACCAGAAGACGACGATGATGACTTCATCACTAATGAAGTAAAGAGGAGGTTGAAGGAACTGAGAAGAAACAGCTTTATGGTATTAATTCCTGAAGAGTCAGCTCCAGAAGATGATGATGCAGATGATGAAGAAGAACAGGTGAACATGAATCCCGGTGATTGGAGGGATGTTGAAGCAGAAGGAAGACAGTTTTGGTCTGGCTTCAATGCCGTGTATGACAAATACTCTGAACAAATGCTGTTTTATGACCGCCTGCATGTTCAGCAGCTGCGTGAAATTGGTAATAGTTCCGGACTATGCTTTGCTTTACTTCCTGAAATAAACTTTGGTTCCCTTGCTTTGCACTAGTGGCTCCAAATTAGAAACTGAAATCATCTGTACAATCAGAAATCAATCGAGTAATATATGATAATATCAAAGAAATATTTTCCTTAAATGATAAATTTACAATTCTGGCTAGACAATTAAAAAGCACAATAAGAAAGGATAATCACACTAAATGTAAGAACAAACAATTCTTTTTGGGAAACAATCCTCTAATTAATTCCCTGGGATTTTCTATAGTTGGTGGAGTATATAGAATCCCAATCAAATATAGTTGGTAGAGTGAGTCATTGCATAAAGAGAAAAATTGCCCATCTTTTCTTTCATTCGGGAGAAATATGATTGGGACTCGGGAGGAGCTAATTCAACCCGTCCGGTAAAATAAGAACAGCCCCCACATTCATTTGTTTCGAGAAATCGATCAATTCTGATTCTTTCTCTTATTTTTGGCGTATGGCATCGTCACTCCTTTTGGCGACATCCAAAGGATTTCTCCTTTGCTTTGACAATGAAATTCTGCCCTGGTCCCCTTCATAAAAAGGAAGAGATTTATTGATGTATTTATTGGATCCGTTAGATGTCTAATAATTCAGATGGTAATGATTGTCTCTTGTACCAATGGCTTACTTTTCTAAGTAATGGGAAAGGGATGTGAGGCGTGCCACTGAAAGACTATTGAGACAAAGATGGGCTGTCAAGAACATAGAGGAGGTATCTTAGCTAAAGGCATTCAAAACATTACAAAGTAAAAACAAGTATTAGAGTAAAATAGTGCAATATCCTTGTCTAAAGTTAAAAATAAGGTAAAATAGAGGAATTCACTTATCTATAGAGGCAAATCAAAGCTTTATCGTTAAAGGTTGAATCATGACCTCTCATAGTTGTTATCGTGTACAGATTCCTCAATGTTCAACCTCCCAAGTTTCAGCTCCTCTGCCTCTTGAACAATAGAGACTTCTTCATTTTGCACACCCTTCAGAAGGAACTTAGAATTTCCCTTCATTGACTTTTATATACTGAGATATGGTAGAATTACCCTTCATTCAAGTGTAAAGCTGCCATTTTGCTGGTATATTTGTGTTTTAGAACACAAACCAAGGTGTCTATCTATTGTCATAGTAGCATAAGAACGGGTCATTTGTAAAGAGACAATTTTCCACAACACTCGATGAACCAATCGCACCAAACACTCTAGTTATTGTTTCAATGGAAGACTCAATTGACAAGTTCAATTGAATTTGCCGATAGATCATTCCTTTCAATTGAATTAGCAAATGAATTTTAAACTTAACCCGAAAATTGTTCTGAAACAAAATTTTTAAATAAATTGTGAAACTGCAACAGTGTGTCGTATTAAAGGCATTTAGAGATGAGAAGTCATTCTTTAAAGGTGAGCCTTAGAAAGTACAGACTGTAGTGATGGCTGTTTTTGGGTCAAACTAATAGAGACATCTTTTATATTTAATGGAGAGAACTGCTGTATTTTTTTTTTTCCTGCGGTAGGGTTTGGTTTTGTTCCTCCAGCCATTAGGAACCTGGCAAATTCAATTGCACTAGACCTTTTATTTTATTGAAAAGTTTTATACATAAAGGTACCAAGATGGTACTTTGCGCTAGATCTAACCTAATGGGCAACTGCAAGTCCCAGATTCTGAGTGCACAAAGAATCAGTTTTTGCTTATCTTGAGCACTTAAATCTCTGTTTCTATTTTGTTACCTCTAAATGAACTGTTACATAAGTTCCCTTGTGTGGTTGTTAGATGTGTTTCTATGCATGCTAGTATAAATATCTTGTGATTCTCATTTGTCCTGGTCTATACTCTGGCTTTGACGGTGCTTTAGTAAGTTTAATGTTGATTTTTTCACTGTCGCTTTAACGGTGCTTTATTAAGTTTAATGCTTATTGTTTCTCTGTCGTTGCAAGCATCTCCAAAATAGAGCTGATTTGCAGCTTCGAGAGCACCAAATTTCTTGGTGGTTAACAAAATTTAGTATTTTCCAGGTTCGCATATTTCATCTACTTCTTCGCCAAGATCTGCACCTAAAAAGCTTGTATCACCCTTTCGGTGCCTGTCCTTGAAAAAAATGGATGAATTTCAGGATGAAACTCAGCACTTGCACCAGCCTGTGGCTAACATTAATCAAGATCTTGAAACAGCTTACGTAGCTCAGATGTGCCTGACCTGGGAAGTTCTTCACTGTCAGTACACACAATTGAGTCAGAAAATCTCTAGCCAACCTGATAGTCCCATCTTCTATAATCACAGCGCTCAGCAGTTTCAGCAGTTATTGGTCTTGTTACAACGATTTATTGAAACTGAACCTTTTGAACCAGGTACAAGGCCTGAAATTTATGCTCGCATGAGAAATGCATTGCCTATGCTACTTCAGGTTCCTAAAGTCCAAGGTAGTACTGATATCTATAATGATTGATTTCCTATTAGATGTTATTTGATTTTCCTAATGATTAAAGACTTTTTTTTTCCCTTGTATTGAATGACTTGGACTTGTTAAGAATATGTAATTTGCAAAAGTTCGCTTTGTATTTAATGCATATTAAACTTTGATGTACTGGAGTTGGTAAAGTTGATTTTCTCTTGATCTGTCTAAGAAATCGAATCTCTCAAGTTTAGGTTCAGATCAAAAGAAATTGGAAGATGATGAGTTGCCAGTTCTTGCTCCAGATCTACTCAAAGTGATTGAAAGTTCAATCCTCACTTTTCGTCTATTTGTGAAGATGGACAAGAAGTCTAGCAGTGTACGAAATCTTTTCGGAAGCCAGAACCAGATGACAACACCCGTTCATCAGGTTCAATGTTCTCTTGAAAAGGTAAGGCATTGGTTTGATATTCTCTGTTTAACCATCCTTATGCTTGTACCTTACTTTTGGCACTGTACTTTTATGAGGTAGTATGGTTAGCGTTTGTCCTGGAAGAATTTCAAGATAGTTTCCTTTTCATGCTCCGGGGAATAAGGAAATATAGAAAATATGTGTTTGTATAAAATAGTTGAGACCCACTCAGAAAAATATCCAATATGGAGCAGATTTAGGGAAGGCTTCAAACTTGTTTCCCACATTATCCACTTGAGATGAAAAAATGAGCTATACCATCAGTCAATGAGGTTGCCTTCGAATTTGTCTAGTCAAAATTCCCGACTTAATTCTCTCTTCTTGTCTCTTCCTTATCCTGTTTCTGAAATGTGGGGGCTCCATTTTCTTCTCTCTTTTAGCACATTGCACCACCTGTGGATTTCTTTCAAATTTTGCCACAAGGAACTGTACCAGCAGTTTCTGCGATATTCATATGACGTGTGATTAGGTGTCTTCGATTGTGACGAAGAGGACCATACTCCATATCATCAAATGATAGTATTGTTTCTTTCATAAGCCTTTTCTTGACTCTTCTATCTATGTCATATTCATTCCCGTCCAGCTCATATGAGGAGATCAAGAGGTAAGTTTTGCTTCCTTTCCCCCAAACAGATTTTCTGAACCATAAATTAATAGGAAAGTAAAAGGTTGTTTAGTGAGAGATTGTTAAATAATAAAAACTGGAAGACGTTTTGGTCATTGACAAACCCATAGTTTCGTTACAGTATTAGAAGTCTGCTTTTGGAGATTTCTAGGTTTCCTCTGTTTCCTGTTTATTTGAATGTTGAACTGATATCATTAACTTAATATCCATTTGCTATTTTCAGTAGTTGGTTGTAATGTAGTATTGCTAATAGTAATTCAAGCAAAGCTCTTGCTATCTCCATTTTGCTTTGGCTTGTAACTTGTAAGATAGTCAAGCAATGCCTACTTTGGGACAGAAGTTTGGACTTTGGATGTTGCTGTTGGTCTTCTTTGGGATAACTTTCGAGTCTTTCTAATGCAGAAAAAGGTGAAACTGAAGGAACTACGGAAGAAAACAAAGAACCTGAAGAAGAAATCATGGCCTAGCATGGCAGCAGATGTCGACCTGTTGCTTGGCCTTATTGATGTAAAGGTCATGAATAGGGTCCTAAGAATGGAAAGAATCAGTAAGGAGCAGTTATTCTGGTGCGAAGAAAAGATGAAGAAGCTAGATGTAACTGACGGCAAGCTGCAGAGGGACCCCTCTCTCATCTTATTTCCTGGTTAGCAGGCAAATCGAAACTCTTGACTTGCTAGAAAAACCAATATCCTCTTTTTTCCTTCTGTATTGGCTGTATAATAGGGTGGATATTCTTTTATCAACTGTTTGACAGTGGTGGTTTTTTTAGTTGAAAAGACTTGAGTTTTATTTAACAATGCGTTCCCCAGGTTTTATTAAGCCTCGTAGAAGTGGGGACAAGGCATGATGCCTGCCTTTTCATAATTTTTGCCATTGCATTTTAGACCCAAAACTAGCAAACAATAGCAAGTTCTTTTAGGTTTTTGTTGCTTTACGGAGTGACAAACATCCATTAGATGATCATGGAGTGTGAACTAGTGATCAACGATGAGGAGGAGTATTATCAAATCTCAAGTTCAAATTTAGTTGGAGATAAAAAATAATTAGGTAATTTTCGAGACCCATGTCTATACACCGCCCTCATTAGAAAATGTGTCACCAAACAATTCTAGACTTTCCTATTTTTTACTGTGACCTGGATCTACTACTTCCTCCGTTTCAATTTACGAGACATCTTTTAAAAAAAGATATATTTCTCTTTTTGGAATTACTTTATCCTTAATTACATAAATTTATAGCTATAAAAACATCACATATTTATGACTCACGTTTTCGTTTTCTTTTGAACACGCTGCCTAATTAATAAAAGATTTATTTGGCATGGATAAAAACAAAAATGAAAAAAGTCCTAATTATAAGCTGTTAACATCATTTCGTAGAGGGTTAGCAGGAGTATAAAAAGGGCTCTTCGCACATTTGATCGCTCGGTCAAATAATTAAAACTACTAACCAAAAGTTAAAAAAAATTTAAATGTACGTTCTATAACAAAACATATATAATTCTCCTCTATTATTTTAGTAGGCAACTATATAATATAATTTTTTTTATATAAAAAATATCATAATCCCTAGACAAGTCAACTAAAATAGTTTTAGATCTGGAGAAAAGAAAACAAGCATTATTGAGCATTGACAATAGAAAAAGAAAAATGTTCCCTCCCGAGTATTTTCCAACGATTCTCTTGTTGGCTTTCAAAATGTTTGCTCCGTTTTAATTTGTTTGAAATATTTTTGTTGGAAACTGTTATGAAATGGACATGGACAGTTTTCTTCAGAAGCTTCTCTTTGAATACATGGAATAAAATATGTCAATAATAATCTCAATTAAGCCAGCAGATTTTGAAGAACTTAGAGAAGACGACGCAGCGTTCGGAATTGACTCACCGATAAATCCCCCGTCCATATCTAGCGCCACTGTAATTGAGGCATTAGAGACCAAAAAAGTACCTGCACCATGGAAGAATTGAACGCTAACGAGGAGATTCGAAGGACAATAAAACCTAGGAGGAAGAAGGATTTGCGTGGTCCCGTACCCTTCATACTCATCATTTGCGGCACTCTCGTTTACTACCACTGTGTTTATCGGAATGCCAGTATCGTCTCTCTCGTCTCTGACGTCTTTATTGTAATCATTTGTTCCCTCGCTATTCTCGGACTCCTGTATCGCCAGATGAACATTTCGGTTCCTGTGGATCCACTAGAATGGCAGATCTCACAGAACACCGCGAATCGCGTCCTTGCCTGCATTGCTAATACTATCGGCGCTGCTGAGTCTGTTCTCCGCGTTTCTGCTACCGGACATGATAAGCGCTTGTTCGTTAAGGTACTAACCAACTTGTACTATCTACTCTGTTATTCGATTCATCGGAAAGTGATAGAAACTTGAATGAATTTGTGTAGAAAAATTGTTTTTGGAACTTAATATTGTGCTTGGACTTGCATTTTACTTGGATTTTTTTTTTGAGATTTTGTCGTACGTAAAATTTCACCAAAAACTGGTAAATTCTTTTGAAGAAGATTTTTAAGAAACTGAGCCAAGGGCCTACGGAAAGGTAGTGGAAAGGTCAATGTACACACTACCTTTCCTAGGTCTCATTGCATAAATTTTCAAACTTGACTAAATTTCATGAACAAACAATCTGTGGCCGAATGGGAGCTTAATATGTGTTTCAATACTATTATACTGTAGTAAAAGTTATTTGGCTCGGCCGAACACAGCATCTGAGCTTCTACGTGCCCTACATTTCATCTACTATAGGATAATTAATACAGAAAGGAAAGCTTCATACAGAAACTCAAATACTAATTTGATGTAACTGAAAAATGGATTGGTGAACGTTATTAAAATCATCCTACTACATTGCCAGGTTGTGGTTACTCTTTATGTGCTATCGGTTTTGGGAAGGATAGCATCAGGTGTTACTGTTGCCTATGCCGGTGAGTCATTTCTTCTCCTATTTCCTCTACTTGTATTATCGGGGTACAAGGTCGATTTTCATTCACAATTTTGCATCAAATTAAGCTGTTCTGTGTGGATTAATTATATGCAGGACTCTGTTTTCTTTGCCTTTACATGCTTGCTGAGAATTCTCAGCTGATTAGCGTATGTTTGTGGAGTCAACCAAGGAGAAAGGACTCAAGAGAAACAGTTCAGAGCGACTAGGGTGTTTTGCTCAGTCCACGGAGCATATGAATTGCCTTGGTTTGTAGATAGACCAAAAGAGGTAATGAAGGAATAAGAACAGAATTTTAATACCACTGGCATAAAGTAAATAATGTAATTGGTCCGTACGTTCTATCCGTTCGAGTTATTGCAAAGTGTGAATTCTTTGTGTGTAGCCTTATGATTTTCGTATTAGCTGAAAGAACAAGAGAGCTTCTGCAAATTCACCAACAACATGATGATGGTAGGCGTTTAACATGTGTTTTGTCTTGACTCTTGATGAGTGGTCAACAACTACTGTTTGATACGTAGGATTTTGAGCTTGTAGATTTGAACTGATTGCCCCAAAATGATTTCTTTTGAAAAATTGCACAAAAGTGCATTTGATCCCATCTCAATTTTTCTTTTCAAATTCGAAACAGAAAAATACAGACTCCCTCTTGAATCACCACAGAAAACACAGATCAGAAAAACATGAAGATTTTGTGTCTGAAATCACATAAGAGTATCAAGGAGTTTGATCCTTGTACTTCAAATCCTGCCTCATTATATGGAACTGGGATATGAAGTTATCGACACTACAACCTTACAATTCACAAGAGAAGAGACTGCTATTGGCGTGCTCTGCCATGACAAACCGATCATTGCTTTCAACTAGACTTCAAAGTACTGGAAAGTGTTTGCAATACTCAAAATACTCATCGACGTGACAACAAAGGTCCTTGGTCATAAGATGGTTAAAACCAATACAACTTTTAACACTTGATTTTCTTAAAGGAGAAGATGAAGTAAGAAAAAAAATGGGAGTCACGTCTTCTCAAGTCTGAAAAGATCTTCTTCCCTTTTTTTTTTTGCCGAGAACCTGAAAGTATCAGTAATCATCATCATCACCTCTCTGGCTCATATTCGACTTTTGAACTAAACGGACCACCTCAGACATTTGTGGTCGAAATTCTGGCTCCGACTGATAACATCAGAAATCACGAATAAGTCAAGAATCGTTATTCTTTAGGCTATTGATAGAAAGATATTAGTTAACTCCCTCCATTTTCGAAAATTACTGCAAAAGAAGTCTAACCTGAACGCACAGAGCAGTCACATTGGCAAATCTAGAGAGAGATTTAGGAGGATAAAGTCCACGCAGAGCAGGATCAGCCATTTGCTCTAAGGCATCTAGATCATGTAGTTGTGGCGATGCCCATTCGACCAGGCACTGTTCTAATCTTGGCTTTGAACTGAAGCATCGATATGAATATGTTAGATTCATATTTTGGTGGATAACTGGACAAATTAAAATTAGCATGCAAGGGGATGCACCTGTCAAAAGGCTTTCGCCCTGTCAATAGTTCCAACATGACAACTCCGAAGCTATAAACATCACTCTTCGAAGTATATGCAGAAGGTTTTGTGCATTCTGGAGCAGTGTATCCAGCATCCAAGTTTTTGCTTGATCGCTGAAAAAAAGGGAGAAGGTTGAATAACATTATTTAAGCATGATGTACCTCTACTAGACACCAACGCACCATGTGAAATATCTTAAGCATAAATCAGCAAATGTGGACTGATCCAGGTTAACCCTACGTACCAACAACGGAGTATGCATTTCAGCAAACTCACGGTGGATCCAGGATTTGAACTTTATGGGTTCTATATTTGAAGTATCGGATCTGAAATTTATTATATGTACATACTAGTCAATTTGTCAACAAATATATAGAATTTTGATCAAAGTTACTGGGATCTGGAACCCGTACTTCCAATGCTAGCTCCACCACTGAATTTACAGACTACTAGTATTATTTATCTATCCTGGATTGTTACCATCTTCTATGTTCATATTCATTTATATAGCACCATATCCTGTTTTTCAGATCATGGCACTTATTCTCAAACTAGAACCTGATCGCCATGTCAAACTACACAAATTTATACCAAATCATGCATCTATTACCCATCCAATAGACCAATACCATTCACCGCTGAGTGATGAAGAAAATAATGGAAGGCATGTGACTTGGAGAAGGACCTGGTACCATGGACATTCTATTTGGAAATGAGCTGTGTCAGTGACATTCTAAGCAATGATGGACACCAATTATGAAGCTGCTAACAAATTCAATCAGTCCTTGGCCAAGAAAAGGTAACAATATCCACATTTCATTTTTGAGTCTTCCAAAATAGTATTCATTTTTATGGAAGACTATCCACATTATATATGTCAATAATTACAAGATTTCAACTTTCATACGTCTCGATAGTTTTCTTAAAATTTCGAAATATCCAACATATAACTTAAGAAGTTACATGCGGCCCACTTTATTTTTCTGAATATGACTTTATCCATTTCCTGTTTCAAGTGGTCACATTTGCAAGTTAGCAGGTTCCTAAATCATAACATTCAAAACTGCAGAAATAGTATGAACTCAGGTGGAAACAATACTTGCAGTAGCTAAAGGTCTATCTTCACATACCTGATGAAACATTGCCATGCCACACTCACAGAGACGAGAATTCAATTCAGCATCGAGCACAATGTTTGAAGTTCTTATATTCCTGTGGAGACATGATGGAGAACAAACCTCATGCAGGTACCTATATACAAATTAAAATCATGTCATAGGATCTATTAGGAGAACCACATTGACTAGAGTGTTTCTTAATAATTCAAATCATGTCGTACTCGATGGGATATCAGTTACAGTGGAAACTGTAATGTCACTCACCACTAAGGGCATGCAATTAATCTGTGCCAATAGTACTCACTACCGATACCAACATTAAAGGAAATCACCAACTGCAAGAGAAACAACACGAAGAGTTTGACTTACTCAAGAGCACGGGCGGCCCCTAGAGCAATTCTGACTCTTGTGTTCCATGTAAGAGGTTTACTGAAGTCATCTGACACATGAAGGAATTCATAAAGTGAACCATTTCTAAAATACTCAAAGATTAACATATTCTGTCCCTGTTCTGAACAATAACCAATAACTTCAGCTATATTTGGGTGGTGAAGATTGGAAATTTTGCCAACAATTTCTGTGAATTCTGTGCACTGCCCATCTTGGAAAAAAGAGGAGTCTATTTTCTGTACCGCCAGAACCTGGTAAATCAAAAATAAGATTTCTCCATTATGTTTATCATACAGTACAAATATGATTAAATACTTCTAGACCATATAAACATCAGCTGAACCTCCCTAGAAATGGTAGCCAACCAATTAGTAGCACCAGAAGCATTTGCAGGTTTAAGTTGAACCAAGCACGATATATCTGCTTGGGACATATATTATGTTCACTTCCACATTACAACTATCTGCTGCAATGAATAGAAAAGCTAGATAATCTGGCCTCAAGGGACTTTGAAATAATAAGCTAACAAAAGAAGATAAAAGCAACTAAAATTATTGCCATGTTAAGTTGGAGCATGTGCTATAGGTCCAAAAGTAGATGCGAACAGAATATGCAAGATTCCCATGCAGAGATATCTGAGCAATCCATATTGTAGGATATGAAAAGACTGATACAAGTTCTAACGAGACCTTTGATGAGAAGTGAGCTCACATCCATCCATCATTATAGTCTAATTTCTGTGGTCAACTAGTACGCTTACAGTACCTATTAACATATTGCTGAACAAACTTTATCATGGAAGTGATCTGCTAAGGTCTGGAAGAAATTTGTTTTCGTTGAAAAGAACCTCTCTACAGTGTTGTAAGGAAACAAAGAAGAGGTCAAATTATATCTACACAAAGGCAATAGCTCAACCAGGAAATTTAAGTCAGTTTACCACAATTTACATGTAGTAGAACATGATCACCTATGCAATGATTAACAAGGACAATGTGATAGGTTCAAGGATTACGCCGGAACAATAGATGTAAGTTCATTTACTTTAGGTCCCATGCAACAGTAGAAGATCATCTATATTATTATCCATAAGGTTACAAGAATTATAAAGACAACTAGACAAGGACTATGTATTTATTTCAATCTTTCAAAAGGAACCTTCAGAAAGAATTTTCACTTCAAACTTTAGACTTGGGCTGGTTCCCTGGGTACCATTCTGAAATACCAATGATTTCCTCTAGAAATGACTGTAGAAAACATTACTTTCAATGTCAAAGCAGGTGGAAGATATGTGCATGAACTTATGTATTTCATGAATACGAACCCTTCAAAACCGAGAAAAAGCTTAAATATCATAGATCTTCAAGTACTCATGAACAATATTAGCTCTACAAATATATATCTGTCTGTTGCCTTTTCTTCTGTTTACCTTTGACTAATCTATGTATTGTATCCAATCTCTCATGATGTATAATGGAGATTATGCAACCAATTCATGAAGTGAATTAACAACAAATATACCATAAAACTAAACAGCACTGTAAATCAGGTCAAGCTTACCTTGCCATCTGGATATTTTGCCATGTATACTCGACCAATTGATCCCTCACCAAGAAGGCGAGAACTTGCAAAGTTACCAGTTGCATTCTGCAAATCAGCTAATGGATAGTGATCTACCTTAACTGAACTGCTCTGTTTCATAGGATTTGCGAACTCTTTATCATTGAACGACTTGAGATGATCTGAAGGTGGAGCATTTTTCAGCTCCTTCTCATTAAAAGACTTGTGACGCTCTGAATTAAGACGCTTAAGAGCCATTGAGGAAGAGGTTTGCAAATGTTTTTCTGCAGCTGATGATGAATCAGAGGACATAGTTTCTGTCAGATGAAATAATACAATTGTGACCAACAAGGGAGGTTGCTCTAGTTGGGAGAGCCTTCCATTTTCAACTAAGAGGTTTCGAGTTCGTCATAAGGGGGAAAATGGGCATAAATCTCTATTGTCCCATGGGTAAAGGGTTGTGGAGGGGTCTGTTCACCAAATAAAACAATAATAATAGTACAATCGAACCAACAACAACATACCCAATGTGATCCCACAAATATGGGGTCTACACAGACCTTCCACCTATCTTTGCGGGGTAGAGAGGCCATTTCTGAAAAACCCTTGGTAATAGTACAACCTAACCTTAGCTTAATTTTAGAGACAATATTCAGAGGACAAAGAATATGTGATTGGAAAGCCACACATATTCTTTTTCTTCTCCATTGCTCTCCTTTTATAGAAGGGGATTGGAAAGCCAAAAGTAAAATTACCTCTGAATTCCTCCTGCATGTTGGCACGTACGCTACTAGATAACTCCTGAGATGCAAGAGGAGTAAAAGGTTGACGCTGGCTAAATTTATCTTCTTCAAGAAAATGGGAGGAAGGTGATGATCTTTTTCTTCTTGACAATAGAGCAATTATAACACCAAGTAGCAACAAAACACCCAGTAATATCCCAGCAATGGCCCCTATACCCAGGCCAGATTTTCCAGATTCCTTATCCGACTTCCTGGTGTGTGGTTTAGCTTTCTGCCCAGGAGGCGGAGGAGGAGCTGATCCAGTAGACCAACTATTTCCGCCAGTCCTTTTAAGTAAAAAGAAAGTATCAGGCATTATAAATCGAAACTAGTTAACCAATAGTTCATCCAACACTCACTCTAAATTTTTGATGTCTTTCAGCTCATCCGGAATCCATCCATTAAATTGGTTGTTTGCTACATTCCTGCCAGCATTTTGTTGAATACACTGGCTTAGTTACGTATAAACACCCGAGGACACTTCATACTTGTGACAGTTTCTTACTCAAATCCAAGCCAGCATTTTATTCAAGGGATAACGAAAAAAAGTATGTGATTACATATTTGGCCTACTAATGATTTATGATTCTATCAGTGTCTTATAAAGGGCTTTTTCTGCATATTGATTGCCTGAACAAGTGGCAAGGGGCATTCGGGATGTTGCATGCAGCCACGTAGTAAAAGCTCACCTCTCTCAAAGGAGGAAAAAAAGAGAAATATCTTTCTGAATCATAGACCTTATAGTACTAGAAGTCACAGTCTTCATAAGAAAAAGTACTAGAAATCATAGTAAAACTTGGGCTACACAAGTTGGACAGTGTTTGAGCTGTCTATGCTGTAATCTCTAACTGATTGCGTACCTTGTTTCCGTTCTTGACCACTATCAGGAACCTTCTCATTTACCTATATTATGATCATTATACAGCCAATGCCCAACGGCAAACTGGATGTCCAAGAATTTTTTTAGCTTTGTGTTAACCAAGTGAAAGGTGGAACAGAGTTTTTGATCGAAGACATAACTTCTTACTTAAGAAGGAGGTCCTTTTGTAGAGCCCTTGAAATTTAAGTAAATATGCTACATTTAATTCTCACATAGAAAGTAAAAGTGTCGTGATGCATGCTCCTCGATTTACAGTTGGTTAGCTTTATCAAGAAACAAAAGATAACTCTAAAGGTAGACCAGGTATTGCTTTTGTGAAACAAACTTATATCAACCATAAGTCCATAACATAGTGTAACTTTAGAAATACTGAAATACAGAGGCAGATAAGGTGGCATCTGATATACAGAATAAGCTTATATCAACTTATAGAATGATGCAAAGATGTGAATATTTCATGTGCGAGTCTAAGATCTTCAATGTACATCAATCCTAACACTGAAGATGACGAAGTCTAGGTACTCTACAAAGTTGTCTGGTTATAATTTCTTTTGTTGATATCTTACTTAACTTCGTTGAACAAACTTATAGCAACCATAACCTTGAAATGTGAAATCAATGCTAACTTTAGAAATAAAGAGGCAGACAGGGTGGCATCAGACCTACAGAATAAGCATATATCAACTCAGTAGCAATCATGGTATAATACAAAAGACAACCTAATACACCAATTATACTCAGATTTTGAAAATAAGATAAATGAAGAAGTCAAGAAACATGAAAAACTTTCTTGCTTTGCACTTTCTGGGAAATTTTTCTTCTTTTTTTTTTTTTTTTGGGGGGGGGGGGGGGGGGGTGGTGGTGGTGTTGGAGAGATGGGGCTAGGAGAGTGCTAAGAATTGTAATTTTTAACACATAATGGAGGAAAACTTACTACACTTTGGAATTGCAAAAACCATGACTTAGAATTGTAGCTTTACTAACAGTTCAACTTACAAATCGTCAAGTTCAAGATCAGCAAGAACATTTATTGATCCAGTAAACTGATTGTTCTGTATGTGCCTGCATGCGGAGTGAAAATGTTTAGCTCCAATCAAGATTTTGATCCCAAATATTAAGCACTAGCTTACAATTTGCTGAGGCTTGAGAGGGATTTAAGACCCTGAGGCAAACTGCCTGATATTGAATTGTAGGAGAGATCCCTGGATAAAATTGCACGAGTTAGTTGATACACTAGACAATTATATTACCTGACACACTACAATGCTTATGAATATATGTATGCATGTTGATATGCAGGAATGCATAGAGAAAAAAGCGAGGGGGCCGTAAAAGCATTGTTATCTTACTTGACTTTATTATCATAGAGAGACTGGACTAACAGGATAATTTTAACTTATGTGGTGTTTCGTAGGAAGTACAAATGAAAATTAGACTATATATCGAGTCAGTAGTCCTTCATAACCTGTCTAGGCGGTGACACAAGGTGATCCATCACCACTTTTGCTTTCCTATTAGTAATAAACTCTAAGCTTAGTTCTTAACAGAGTGATCAACTTGAATAGCTGCAAGGATTGGATTGGTGATATAAACGGTAATTCAGGTGAAATATCACATATGATATATGTCAATGATACACTAGTGTTGTGTGGTGCTGAAGAGGGGCATGGTTATTCTCAAAGGTGATACTTCTCGCCTTGGATGCTATTTCTCGTACTGAAAGTAATGATCTGAAGGAAAACCTCTGAAAATAGTTAAGTAAAACCTCATTCCCTCATTCGCGGAGGCAAAGATTTTATGCTGAGTATTTGAAATGCTAAGAATCCACCCGAAAACAAATAACCTCTGCAATTAAATGTCTCACTTACCTTTTTGGTCCATCTTGAATTAATGTTCTCCCTAGAAATGTCTTATCATAAACCCAAATATCCTTTAAAGAAGTGTCATACAATTTCACATCTCTATAAATTTTCACTAATCCATTAGCAAGAAAAACTGTTAGCAGGTCATGGTTGTTCTCTTTTAATTTTGAACAATCACATTTCAAGTCAATATGGACATTCCAATTGGAATGAAGGAGTTTCAAGAAAATTCAATGTTAAGGCTATAGAGATGCGATCAGAAGTCTTCCATCAGTTAAGACTTTGCTCAAATCAACTCAATTCACACATTTCCCACACCTTTATGAATAATCACAGACGTGCAGATTTCCATCCTCAAGCACTACAAGCAGCAAAGAATGATGTTCAATCTATATGACTAGGGAGCTCATTATTTACACATCCACATTGTTCGTTGTCATTCCACATCTAGCAACAATTTCTTAATTGTTACTGTAGATCAGATCAGAGATAAGCAGACAGTGAGCAAAGGATAGTCAGGAAAAGGCAATGCAAACATATTCTTGGAACAACTAATATCAATGAACTTTTCTACTTCCAGAACCATTCACTCTACAGTCTGTCTCTAATATTTCCTTGCAGCCATTCATGAACTTATTTGCTGAAGGCAAGACCTTATAGAAACAAAGAAAAAGACAAAAGGGAGTATCTGGATGCAAAATTTGCAATACTTACATCTCAGTAAGTTTTGTAAGTTTTCCAAATAAATCACTCAGTGATCCACTTAGCTTATTATGATTAAGATTCCTGCACAACACCAAGAGCATTATTGACACCTGATATGAAGCCTAAAATTTAAAACATTAAGAATAAGAGAAAAACCATTACATGGATTTAAGCTCAGTCATCTGAGAAATTGAATAAGGTACAGTTCCACCAAATTGATTTCCAGAAAGATCCCTGCAGAACAAGAACCGAATGAGGGACTGATAGGGCGCAATATCAACAGAAACAGATCTTCTGGATAAGGCTTAATGCTACTTAATAATAAATAGTCGGTCTAAGAAGACACCAAAAGGAGGTGACCAAAAGTTGCAGCCTGAGGAGAAACTTCATAATGAGGTATGTCTAAGAACTTAATGCTTGTCTGCCTACTTACAGGTGTTTTGTGCGAGGAGGAAGTTGGTATGGTATGTTGTCCTTCAGGTTGTTTTTGCTCACATCACTGCACTATGACATTCAAATTCATCTTTGTCAGGACCAGTTCTTTCAGTGGACAGATAAAATCACATAATATAAACCTAATTTCCAATATCCAAGAGTTGTCTGGGCCTCACAAGTAGGTAACTTTCTCCAACTTATCAAGCTGGAAGCCAAGTGATCCAGTGAGCCCCAAGCCAGATAGATCACTGCAACATAATTTAGGAATAAGCAGATCATGGATTAGTAAAAGAACCAGAAGGCAACTTTTTCTTTTCCTTACGCGTTGTAAGTAAAAGCAAATGAAATGACAAAAGCAAATAAGAAAAGGAAAGAAGTACATTTCAGTGACATCGGAACCAGAACACTTGATACCCTTCCAAGAATCATCACAAGGATTTCCTCCATCGGATTTCCATCCATCAAGTTTGGAATGGGGCTTCAAATACTGATACATGTCATTGAGGGCTGAAACTGTAAAGACAATTAAATTTGTTATCTACATATCTAAAGATGTATATGAATAACATTTATTGGTTATCTAAGCTCATAAAGACTCAAAGTTTCTTCTTGCGCTCTAGCCAAATAATTGAGAAGTTATACATTACTTCTCAATTCAGAATTGGGGATTTACCTTGTTGGGAATCTGTTTTCGAAAGCACCACATTAACAGTGAAGGAGCTTGTAAGGATGATCCAACAAAGGAAAGTGCACGGACTTATCATCATCATCATCATCATATTTGGGCGATCAGTTGCCCAAACCTAAAATACTTGTCAAACAACAACAAAAACAGCAGTATTATGAAATCAGTAAATTAGTACTACTCCACGGAATTCGAATAGGGTGATGATTCCAAGTCTGTACATTGCTGCCCTACGCGAAGAGCAAGTTGAGATCATTCCCCAATCGGCCTCTGCGCGAAGGGTGATAATATCTCGAGGGATCAAAAAATTATGAGGAGAAAATTGTTTGTCGACTCTCGAAAGAATGCATTTGGGAGTGGCGATGAACAGTAGCTGAATTGGGATTGGAAATGCTCCAATGGTAACGACCTGAAAATTTGGAGAAGACAGTGAAGAAGAATGAAATTAGGCACTCGTTTCGATTGGACAGCCATTTTGCGAATGCTTCGCCCCAAAAGCAAGGATGACCTTTGATCCATTTTTCAGTTGTAAAATATTTATACGTGTGTGTGAGTGCGCAAGGCGAGGTAATCGCAGAATATATATTTCTGTTCAAGCTTTGCCGTATGTGGGCTTGAAATTTGTATACTTGAGAATACAACATTTTTAGTGTAAAATTACACTGGCATGTTGTGTTGTATTAATTCAAAATTAATTATTTTAATGTAAGACATTAAATTTTGACAAAAATATCCTTCTTTAAAAGTTACTTCCTATATTCTATATTAAGTGCATTTTTTTAAAAAAAAATGTTGTTTAAAATAATTGAATTGTTCAAAGTTTAAGATAAATGTATGATTTCTTTTTCTTCATGTTTGTCCTTTCCATTAATGAAGTTTTATATTTTTTAGCAGATAAATTACACTATTTACAAAGTTATATTTACGATTTGACAAAGGACAATAGTGAAAAATATGGTTTTGAATTATGTCCTCAAATATTTTTCTTAATAGGTGTACATTACCTCACAAATTCACTTAATATGGAAGAGAGGAGTAAAAACTAGATAAAGTTATTACTTTGAATGTCATAAATGTTGCGGAAGATTAAATTGATAAAAGTTTGAACAACATGAAATTTGAAACTCCAACAATTTTTCAAACTTCAGCACCTTAAACTAGAGATTTACTTGTCCTAGCTTTATACTCCAACACTATGTATTGGACTTGTTATGTGTTAAGAAGCTATCAGTATTTTTGTCAAAAAATTATTTTTCCGCATTAAAAAGTGGCCTACATTTGAAATAATGGCTAAATTTTGATTGCCAGCTCAAAAACTGGTACATTCCACATTCCACATTTCATATTTCACTTGTTTATCTATTGAGAGACTTTTGAAACTTGTATTTTTAATATATTAATATTTGTGGTCTTAAATATATGTATCGTTTGTGTGGCTATAAAAACTCTTCACCAAAGGTAAAATAAAAAGTCATAGTTAGATTTTTCAAATATAGACGAATGTATCCTCACATTGTGAATAGGATTACGTGTTTTTCTTTAGTAATAATAACGATATATATAAGTTAAACTCATAACGAAATAATGTTACTGCAGAAATTGGAATGAAGGACGAATGTGGCCAGTGCAGTAGCTGTATGAAAATAAGTACAGTTTGCCTTCATAAACTACAAGCTGGTTTTTCACATACAGCTCTGAAATGTATTGCAGAATTGTACAATTCCTCCAGTCCAAAAAGAAAATTACAGGGTTGGGACTCTTTCTGAAGCACTGCCGATGACGGTGAGCAAGTTGTTGCCAAAGGGGTCACTCAAATGGGCAGCCAAATTCTCAACAGGACCCTTTCCTGTCACATAGGCTTGGATGAAGAAACCAAGCATAGAAAACATGGCTAGTCTTCCATTCTTGATTTCTTTTACCTTCAAGATTGCTGCCTGGTCTGGGTCCTTTGCTAGGCCTAGTGGGTCAAATGGACCACCTGGGTGTAGCTTGTCCTCCAAATCCTGCATCCCAACACAATTTTTTAAATCCACAATCAAATCAATTGTCAATAGATAGTGCCTTTATGATCGAGGCAACTTACTGAGTTTTGAATAAATTAATTATACATATTAAGTAGATTTCTTAACATAAATATACAAACTCTAGCTAGCTCCGCCCTGTCAGTGCACATAATATTATGATGAAGGTTGTAGTAGTAAATGGGAGCTCACCAAGCCATTAATAATTCTGTAGTACTCAGCACCACCAACAAGAACAACCTCCGCGACCACAGCAAGAATAAGGTTGATGGGAATGTTCTTTCCAAAGTAATTCAATGTGTTTCCATCTAGAAGTAAAGCTCCAGTCTACAAATTAGACAAAATTTTCTTTTTCAGGATTTCGCCTCACATTTAAACAAACAAGATGATTGCAATAAGTGGTGATATATTTATATATATACCTTGAACCAAACAGCTTCAGGACCACAGTTGGCACCAAATTTGTTGAAGGCTTCAGGGATAATAAACCCAGCAGCACCAAGCATAGCCCATCTAGCGTGGATCAGCTCATAAGCCTGATATCTGCAGCATATCGAACAATTTTAAACTTAGATCTATCTTTACAAACAACAAGAACAAAATTAGCTGGCTGAGAGTGTAGTACTACACTTACTTGGCGAAGTCTTCTGGCTTCTTGCTTAGACCAAAGGGATCGTAACCGTAGCTGCAGCAAGTACAAAAAAAATCTTATATAGATATTGTAATTTCAACAATTTCATATGCTAGCAATACAATTTAGCTAAATTACGAGATGTAGGAAGTAGATCGAGGCTTACTCTCCGGGAACTTCTCCGTTCAAGTACTCGGGGATTTCTGATCTGTCCAATAGACCATCGGGCAGGAAAATTCTTCTGTCAGGTCCTGAAAATATTCCCAAAATTTAAGCATATAAAAGCCAAAGGGAAGATGTTAAACAGAGGCTGCATGAACTTAGGAGTCTACTCTTCCGTTCAGTTCGACATTAGTTACAGTACAGTCAGACGTTAATCTACAATTTTAATATAATTCTGTGCGAAATATAATAGGTTCACTTATAAAGGGAGAAAATGTAATGTAGTACTACTCTGTTACAATTAATACGACTACTGCATTAAATTTCATGTCCAATCAAACTCATAAAAGGGAAAGTAGTAATGTTACTCACCGTACCACTTTGCGAGCTCATCGTCAGCAGGAGAGACAGCGGCAGCCTTAGCTTTGGCAGGAGCTGCAGCCTTCTTTTTGAAAAGGGCAACAGTTTTGAAGGTAGCAGAGGAGGATGGAGAAGGGGCAGCAGGCCTTGCAACACCGCCAAACTTGACGGGACTTCCGAGCATCTCGGAGACGTATAGAGAGGTAGCTGCAGCCATTTTTAGCCAAACGGTGAAGCTGGCAAGAGGTAAATTGAGAGAGTTGATGATGAGAAGTGAGAATTGAGGATGGTATTTGGAGTGGAGATATTAGCTTAAAGCTTGTTCTGGTGGATGAGAGCGTGCCAAGTGTCGGCCTGTTATTGGAGCTACAGGGAAGATGAATGTGGAATCTGATGCAGGGTTTTGATTGGAAGGAATTTGTGACGTGGCAGATGACAGTGCTGACATGGCATGCATCGCAAAACTCCTGGATGAGACTTGGATAACGTGACCCTATCCACATTGCAATTTGCAATGCAACAATACTTTCTTATTTTCTATATTTTCCTCTTTTACATTCTCTTTTTTTATATAACATAATATGTAATATACTCTTTGTTTCAATTTGTTTATTTTATTTTCTCTTTTAGATAGTCTAAAAAAGAATGTATCCTTTTTAACAATTCCGTAAGACTACAAAATTAAATGTTTTAGTAATTTTACCTATCTTTAATTTAAGTTTACAAGATTTAAAAATTCTCTTTTTATATTTTAAATACTGAGTCAAATTAAAACTAAACCAATAAATTGAAAGAAAGGAAGTATGTTAAATATTAATAGCATTTTTCTTTTTCTTTGTAGTGCAAACATTGTTCCTTTCATGGATCTAAGCTATGCTATGCTCCCCAGTCCCTAAGCCTAATTATTACTCCCTCTCCCTAATTACTTGTCCACATTTTCTTTTTTAGTTGTCTCTATTACTTGTCCATTTTGACAAATCAAGAAAGGACATTTTTTTTTACCTATGATACCCTCAATTAATTACTTTGGAAAATGTAGAACTTCTTTAAAATATTAAGTTTTTAATTCATCTACTTCATAATTAATAGGGGTAAAATGGTAAACTCACCATGTCAATTATTGATTTCTTAATAGGTGTGCCAATTAAAAAGTAGACAAGTAATTAGGGATATTAGAAGCTCAATGGGAAATGAATAACTTGAATGTTGAATCCCAAATTGGCTTAAATAGATTCTTCTTAAGATATGAATTGAAGAAGTTCATTAGGATGGGGTTTTTCAATTCAAATGGCTCACATACTTCACGAATAAAAGAAAAATAATCATTAAATTTTACTAAATTGAAATTTAGGATTGTCCCTTTGCATGACCTCTTGAATTTGACCAACACAATGTTTCTTTGATATATTTCACAGATATGGCAAAAATAGCTCTTTATATTTGATGGCTAGTAAAATAGTCCATCAAATATATAAATAGTTTTATCAAAATTGAACAATTTCTTTTGTTTATGTTATATTTAAAATATAGATAAATATTTACCTTTAACAAAATTTACTTGCGAGAACCATCTGAATCGTTTAAACTGAAGAAACCATCGGAACAGACTTCTCCCAAATCCCAATTCATTTCATCCAATTTGTACGTTAAAAAGAACTATATTCAAACAATTTAAACCCATTATACACTTCTTTCTACCTTATAGAGAATGAATCAAGGTGTATTCTCCCCTTATGACCCTGAGCAATAGCATCCTTTATAGTTTTAAGGCCACCATGCAATTTCTTCTATTCTACCTTATATATGAATAATGAAGAATCAATACTTATTTCTTCTACAAATCCTCAGTGGCATGTGTTCTAAAAATTGAAATTCTTCCGACTTAACGCAAGTGGGCCATTTTGTATAATAACAAGAAATTGGTCCCAAAAGTATAATAATGACATAATATATAAATGTGTCATTTAATTTAGTCTTATCTAACATTTATGTCCTTCAACTTTGAGTATGCACAAATAGATACTTAAACTATCCAAAAGCTGAACAAGGTGACATAATACACGTAGAATTCCAGGTATGTTGTGAATTGCAACACAAGAAACCACGTAGGAATGTGTATCAACTT